GAATGTGCTCGACCAAGCACGTAATTGGCAACAAACGGGCATGTCTCAGCATTGAGTTTAATGATTATGCATTGTTGTTTATCATGATGTTGTACCGGTTGCCCACGAATAGTGCTAGTGACCAGAATGAAAAATCGGCTTACTCCAAATACCCGTAATATCTTTCGCTGACCCTACGAATCGGTCCCATTAGTCGTTTGAACTCTTCGACCCGATAAGTTGTAGCAGCTCGTTTGAACAGGAATATTGAACTTGCGTTAGAGTGCCGCTAGATTAGGTTCTTTTCCACATGCCACATACAACAACCATGATGAGACAAAAGAAATAAGTGAGCAATAGCTCTTTTGATACTTCTTTTCCTGTCCGAAACAAATACAAGTTCATCTAAGTCGCACATAAACCACATCCAAGATCTGTTTGTTTCGGAATCCATGATCCCTCACGCTAAGGGATAAATCTGTTTGTTGACATCTTGGACAGTTGCCAGTAAAAGTGTACCCTTGTAGGGACCTTTCAAGTGACTACCATCAACGCAAACAACGGGCCTCAAGTACTGCATGTAACCACGAATGCTTGCACCAAAAGCTAGGAAGAAGTAATGGAACCTATTGTGCGAATCAAGTTCGATATGGGTTACTGTCCCTGAATTATTCTCATCTAGGACGTGACAGCATAAAGATAGTTTCTGAAAACTATCCTCTAGTGTCCCAAGCAGCATGTGTAAAGCAGCAACATTCTCCCTACTTGCCTTGTGGTAACTTATTTGGACACCGAGCTTACATTCCATGTCACGTGCAATAATGCTCAGATCATATGATCTGTTTGGATTATCCAATTTTCCCAAAATGTGCTCGGCAATTACAGAACTTGTCGCATGTCGATGCGCATTACTGCGAAAATTGATGGAACATGTGTGAACATTATTGAATTTACGGATCACAAAAATTGCAGACTGCTTCACAGTAGAAGCACGTAACATCCACTTGTAGCTGCTGTCGGCACATACAATGGTTAACATCTTCATGCTTGACCTGTTCACCCAAAATTGGAACTTGTCTTTCAAAGCAAGTGCATGAATTGTCAAGTACAACTCTTTCTTGCGGAATAATATTTCCTTTTCGGCAGATCGGATGTATTCACAGTTCTCATCAATCCATATCCATCCGAACCGTTGGAATGTGACGAAGATTGCTCGTCGTCGACGTCAACGGAATTAGCATCCTCTAAACTAGGTGATGGGTTATCCAAGTTCTCATCTAATGGTGCAGTCCCGTTATCATACTCATGTGTTTCAGGTGCATTATTGTTTGAGACACTATGCATTTGATTCACTAAATTATGTTCCATGTTTTGCGGAACATCCAATGCGGCAAATGAAGGATCTTGAAAATTTGCATCCCTTCCCATGTCAACACTTGGGAGATCGAATTCCAAAATAGTAACGCAGATAGCAGTTTCCTTATGCACTGATATGTACTAATTTAAGTCTTCATTGTAGCGTATTTCGGCCGGAGGTATGCTCAAGTTAAGGACTTTGAACTTCAATTCAATTTGAGCTCGAGGATCAACAATACCAAGTTTTTCCTTCAACCTTAACAAAAGTTCGGCTATGGTAATACTTGTTGGCACCAGAATGGAAGTAGTTTTGTTCCCTCTCCACTTCCATTCGTCATCCGTATGAACAAAATTTCCCACATGCGACACGATAAATCTCAAATGATTACTCATACCTGAAATGTTGGGATCGTAGTATAAATTCAGAATCAATACGTTGGCATTTAATAGCAGAAAATCACACTGCATAATACGTAAATCAGTACAGTAGCAAAAGGTCAAATCAAAGGTTTCCATCATTTTGAAGTGTCTGAATTGAAAGTAAAATTGTATAATCCGACAGTTTGTAAATGTCCGGTTCGACATCTCAAATATTAAACCCGAAGGCTTGTAAATGTCGAACTCGACAGTTCAACTGTCGAGGATGTCGGGAAGCAAACGGCAGTGGGTTTTCCAGGCTTCTTCAACATCACATTAAGTGTGGTTATTATTATTCAGCTACCAAATGACAAAATGTAAATGGTATCTGGGCCTTGTCATTAAAGAGACCTTAATTGTAGTAATGGAAGAAATTACTCAAAACCTTAATGATAATAATGATATTTTGTGAAGGATTCCAAAACCAAATAAATGAATGCATAATACTTTCAAAAATTTCAAAGAAATATGCCCATATTGTATTTAACATGTACTAATAAAAAGCTATAAAAGTATAATATAAATAATTTGTAATTGCTAACCTCTCAAAATGGATGAAAAATGCAACACAAATGTCTTCTTGATCAATGAAAATGAAGAAGATAGAGAAAATGTAGCGTTTCTTGTTTATGTTACAATTTCAAATTTCTTTGATGATTTTTTATTAACAAAAATTCATATTAATCAATAAAAAATACATTTCTCCATGTTTTCTATATAGAAATTAAATGATCACATAAAATCAATGATTTTCCTTCAAATCAAGCATTTAATGTTACTAGAAATGTATTATTAAGGATAATTTGGACATTGCACCCCAAAAATGTATCATTTTTGCTCACAAAAAGTGAAATCGACAATTTTTTTGGAACTTTAATTTTTTGTGACATTTTTGTAAATTTCCCTATAAACAAAAACAAACTCGTAAAATCTTTCATTCAATACAATTATTTTTCACTTAAAAAATAAATGAATTTTTTATTGGAGACTTTCAATTCTCCCAATTAATTTCAATGGCCCACAACAATAAATTGGATAATTATCCAATTCAATGTCTTGACCCAAATAACATTAAATAATCCAATTTAATGTCTTTACCATTAACCCCAAGAGCAAAATTAAACGATGCGGTTGAAATATCCCATTAAAAATAATTGCATGAAATGCATTCAATAAAGTTTATTTATGATCATCACCTCGTTCGACATATTTTTGAGCCATTTTCTTGATCTTTGGGGGCAGAATCTTGGTATAGTTTCGAAGAACTCACCACCAACTATGGTATGCACATTTCAAACAAAATACTATTACACTGTAGGCATAAAATCATAGTTATCAGACCTGACCCGTTCAACGACCTGAAAAAATCATTGGGTCATCAAGGTGTGGTTCAACCAATGGGTCATTACTAAGTCATAATTTTAGTTAAAAAAATATTTTTTAAAATGAAGGACAGCAATCTTCTTAAATGTAAAATATATATGTAATAGTTCACTATTGTAACACAAGTTCAAATGTTGTCATAATGGTTATAGATGTGATATTTCATTTCAAATGCTAAGGTTCGAATCTCTGCCTTTGCGTAGTGAAGGAAAATTTTGCACCTGACTTTGGCACTTGTCATTTCAACCTTGAACAAGTTCCAAGTTCATCTAAACCCGTTCGGTTCGACCATGATATTGGGCGGTCCAACCGATCTTTGACCGGTTCACTAGCTAAATGTACTAAATATAGCAACACGATTGGATTACAATCCGATTTGCCAATTTTCGGGCCAGACCGGTCGGTCCAATCCAATTTTAATAACTAATTACAGATCTTCTATGGAAGCTAATAACTAGAGTAATTAGATTTTCTGAAAAAACTCAATGAAGTATGGATCTTATAGGCAAATGCTTGATGTGAACTCAAATTGTTGCAGCGATTCAAGCAGCTCCCCAACAAACTAACTATAGGTTGAGGATCTGCTACAACAACATGATAGGTTGAGGGCCTATGTGAAAAAATAGAATGGGGACTCAATTTACTACTAACCAATAGTTTGGGGACTAATGCTACAATTTTTCATATTATTATAAAAATAATATATATTAATATCTTGAAAAAGTGGACGGTGGAAAATTGTTACCGAAACCTTTAACATTTGTTATTTCAGATTCTTATTATGAGATGGAAAAAAAATTGCCTTTTTATCAATCCTACATACGTTTTTCACGTTCTAAATCAAACAATGACAAAATATATTATTTTTATAATCTTAATCGGGCCCATTTAAAGTAAACGCGGTGAAACTCAATTAATATATATAATATGTATTGTCTTTTTCTTTTGACTCCAAAACTCATTTAATAATTGGCCACGCTGAATGGATGTCTATATTTCTGGGATAATTTACCATGATAATAAAAAAATTATTCTTGAAGGAGGGGCGATGTGGCATCCCTTTATTGGCTGGTTGTCTTTCTTAAGAAGTATGATTCATGTTTATGGTGTTCGGGTGTCATTGTTAAAGAAAAATTATATCATTACTCGATATTTATGTTCCTTTTCATAACTATGAATTTTATACACGTCTTTATAAGTAATTAAAGATAAGGAATTTATCAGTAAATGACTACAGAAAAAGAAGTGAAAGGAGAGAGGAGCCAAACTCGAACGAGCAAGGCTAGCATGGGCAAATGACAAGAATGTTGGGGTTGGTGGGGAATTGGGAATAGAGTCGAGACAAAACTATGCTTCAAAAATGGACCAAATGGCATAGAGCCGTGCTTGAAGTCCAGGGCCCATGGATGTGTACATGTATCTTTTTCCAATGACATATGTGATGATAATGTAAGATTGAGACTAAATGGCATAATATCATTTTGAAAAAACTTAACAGAAAGTGGGCGATAATTGATTCCATACCAAACAAACAAATATTTTTGCCAGTTCTTGTACACAAAGCAAATCATGTGGTCCATCCATTTACAACTCTTAATCGAATCAAATTATTTTATTACATTAATTTAATCAAACTTAGTACATAATATAGAACAGGTAGTATAATTCACGTGGCTACTGTAACACTCCCTGTCCCAATTTCAACACCTTTATCAAATATACCACGTGCAGAATACAAATTTTCTTTGTGGGTCACACACTACAGTCCTCTGGAGTGACTTTTTAAATATCCACCAATTCTCCTGAATCCTCCATCAAAACCATCTTCTCTCTCTCAGAAAACACAAACTCATAAAGAGTTGAAAATGTTATCAATTGAGCCTAATTCAGGGTTGAGAATCCTTATACAGCTCAAAAATGGTGAATCCAACGTTGTATTCAACACTGCTTCGAAACTGATAAACCCCAGTTTTTATCTGAATCAGACGCAACCTCCCTCGATCCATTCTTGCTTTCTGAAATTGTGTTTCCTTTGTAACAAGCACTTGAGTCTTGATAAAGAGGTGTACATGTATAGGGGTGATCAGGGTTTTTGCAGTGTGGAATGCAGAAGTAGGCAAATATATATAGATGAAATGAAAGAGATAGAAATTTCTACTAAGAAAGTGTTGGCATCGATGAGGCAGCGCGGGAGCAGTGGCCGGTGTGAGACTAGTAGCGTTTTAGAGGAATCCCGGCAGCGGCGCCGCCCATTTTCAACTCGAACAAGTCGAGTTGTTTTCTCCTAGTTGATCATATTTAAAAACAGTGTTTTCCAATTCCTTCTGTATTTTCGGCAGTTGAATCAAGAGAGTATACACAGTAAAGCTATCCTAACAGGATAGCATACAGATTTTACTTTTTAGAAACAGCTACTGTTCAGTAGCTTTTTATTTTTTATTATTTTTCTAACTATTCAATCAGTGAATGACACGTGTTTGCCTACATTTAAACCCTGTCCCTGTCCCTGTCCCTATCCCTATTTTTGTCGCATTTCTCCAGTATACAAAGGAGTTCAGAATTCAGATAATTTTTAATCGAGATAATGTTGTTTAAATGTATATCTAGATTGAATTATGTAGAAGGATTATTCCAAAACAATTAATATTTATCATTGATTTGAATTACCTAATCAATGAGTTTATATGTAATCTCTTATGTAAATCTTAATTTATATGCAGTAAGATCCTTACTGGAAAAGTTTGCACTCACCTATCATACTCCATGTAAATCATGGTTGACAATAAGTTTGACACTCTTTCCTGTGACAACAGTATACACCATTAACTGTAAACATATGCATCCCATCATCTAGTTTAATTCTTGTACACCTTGGATTGCAAATGAATATATGGTAGGATTTTAGCGGTTGTATTAATTGCGTTTTCTGTTGAAGATGATGTGAAATCTTGCTAAGTTTAGATTTCTCATCCAATCATATATCACCATATTATGTGTATTGTAAACCATTATGTATATATAGCACATTCAAATATTATTTTCATAACATTGATAAGTGTAGTTCTGGATGTGGGGGTGGGTTGAAGGGTTGGTTAAGTGTCATTTTTTCTTTATTTATTCCTAAAATTCTAATGCATCTGTGAAGCTGTACTATTAGATATTAAAATGTCAAATGTTATTTTACAAATCCTTCCGTTAATTCGAAATTTTATTGTGAACGAATTCATGTGTAATTGTTAATAATTTGTTACTCTTAGCCGTTCCTATCCGTTAAAGTCAACTATTGAAATTAAAAGTTTGAATGGTTAGTATCAGCTTTGATCGAATGTTCATGGTAGGCATTAACCCATGACTTGAGTATTATAACTTACGTCCATGGTGAGCATTACAACTCGTGTCCATCTAGAGATGGCAAAAATACTCATCAAATCTGATACCCGCAAAGTCTGACCTTACGCTTAATAGGGTAATCGGCGGGTACAAGAAGGAAAATTTTGCCTCGAGACGGGGTGCGGTAATGGGGTCCTTGCGCCCGCCCTGTGCCACCCTTTTATTATTATTATTATTATTATTATTATTATTATTATTATTATTATTATTAAGAATTCAATACTTTAAGCCTTTATTTGATTTCCATTCTTTTTAAAATTCATTTTTCCTCCCTTCTTTTCAACCACACATTCTTTATAATATAATATTACACATAAATAAATAAATTCTTATTTTTTAACCACACATTTTCCATTAATCTATTATTCTAAAATGCATTATTAGAAAATAATGGTCAAACAGACCCAAATAGAAAAACTCCACGAAATTTTATTAATTCTAGTAAAGGTTGGCAACTAAGATTATTTAAGAAATATGATAAATAATAAAAATCTTAGTTTACCAAATATACTCGAATAATTTAACTTTTAAAAATAAATAAATTAATTAAAATTTTTAATAACTATATTATTGTCTCATTTGAATGAATGGGGGCAATAAAATAAATTATCAAAAACTATTAAAAACAAAAATTTAACTGGGTACTTGAACGGGGTGGGAAAATGCGTGTTCGCCTCGCCCCATTGCCATGCCGATGTCTATCATGGGCCTTAGATCGCTTCTGTTTAAAGTAAGGTATCGTACTAGGCATATTCAACATGCAATCTGATAGCATTGAAGTCTTGCTAGTTTCGAATTAAGTCAAGAGAATGACAAGCGATGTACAATTTTATCACCACTTTGCCCAAAACTATAGCTCATGTTTCTAAAACAAGCCATTCTACATCACTATAATCAAGTTCGGGAATTAACCCCCAGTCCCACTCCTTTAGGCTCATTCAAGTTGGCTCTAATGGACGTGACTATTAAAGTTCAGAAATCTCTAGTTATTGGACTACAATTTATTGTTCCTAAGAACATCTCCAATACAGAACTTCATATTTATGCGGCATTAATGTCTAATAAACAGACATTGAAGTCTAAAATTAGTCTCAAATGCATTCTATGGATAACTATCTGGATATTTTTTATTTTCTTAATATAAACAAAATTAATCACGTCTAAATCTGAAATGAAATAATAATTATGTTATGTTTTGGTGGAATTAAAATTAGATTTTTTAGTAGATTACGATAAAAAATTTTGACTGTGGTTGAAAAGTTGTTAAACTCACGAAAGACGTGTTTAATATTGATTGTTTGACTTTAATCGAATAAAAAATCAGATTTTAATTCAAACCAAACCAAACATACTCTTAATTCTAGTAGAGCTTGCTAATTTTCTATGTCACGTCAAGTTGACAAAATCTCTGTTAGCTTACAGTATAAATTAGTTTTTTTTCCCCCTTCTTTTAAACCTTGTGTTTAGTTATATGACACAAATTTTTACGCGATCCACTGTTGCATTGGATATATTATAAGAGCTCTTGAGACTAGCACGAAGGGCCTCGCACCATTTCTTAGTACTAGTTACTCAAAGATGACATTAGCTTAATTATGGTTACTCTAATGATTTTCCACCTTTTATTTTTCTAGGGGATAGGTGGTTTTTGATTTTCCACCCTTTTTTTTTTTTTTTCTTTTTTTTTTTTTTTTTTTTTTTTTTTTTTTTGGGGTTAGAAATGCTAAGACAATCTCAAATTGTTGAGATTAGCTCGAATATTAGCAAACCCCATTCTGTAAATATCTTGTAACAATGTATAGCTCAATTGGTAGATTAGTATGGTTCAACAATTGAATTGTGATAGAACTCTTTATTCTATTAAAGAATCAATAGTTTGGTTCTTCTTCAAAACTCTCTATCTCGACATGTCCAATTTATGGACCGTTTTCCCTTTTGTCACTAACTTACATCCCCATCACATTCTCTGATCCCACTCATTTCCCATTTTAATTGCCTGCCTATATCCCATATACGGCTGGAAAAAAACTCCCGAATCGAATTGATCGAATCGAACCGAGTGATTCTCCTTGAATTAAATACTTGAACGGATATTTGAATTAAAAACCGACGGGTTTGGTTCAGTTCCTGGTTCTAGATCAAGAATCAAATCTCCCTTTTTTTTAATTAATTTATTTTAAATAAACCAAATTATTTTATATTTGTAAATAAATTTGCTAACTAATTAATTTAGCTCAAACCCAAAAATATAATTTTTCCTAATTATAATTTTCAGTTTAAAGCCAATTTAATCAAACTGACCTAAGTTTTATCCAAATATTTTACTCTACCTAGTGCCGTTTCTACCATTCTGAGAAATTGAATTGAAACTCAACAACACTTCTCTTAATTATTGTGAGCTCGCTATCTTCTTCTTCCTGTGATTTTAACAATCAAATCTAGAATAACTCAATAAAGAGAGACGTAAATGACACATAAGATTGGACTACGTTATTTTGTAAAAACTAAAATTGAACATATCATTAGTTGAATTAATATAGTTTTGTAAATATGAAAATATTTAATTATAATATGGAACTTGGAAGCGAATGGAACCCAACCAAACCAAATTGAACCGAATAGAACTGAACCCAAACGATTTCATAATTAAATTTGGACCCGACGGCTCCACTTACTAAATACTCAAAAATTTCGGGTTCGGTTCGGACCATGTCCAACCCTAATTCCATATCTTTTTGTGGTTGTAACAGTGATTCATACACAATGAATTGTTGTAAGCATCTATGTTAGAAAAGGCAATATGAGAGATAAGATTGAATGGTGTATATGTAAAAGTTCGTTTGATTGCAATGATCGAATTTGGGTGGAAAAAAATGTATTCCATGCAATTAAATTGTCTAAAACTTGTTTTACTGAGAATTGTCAATTTAATGTATTTAATTGGTATAATTTTTCACCTAAAAAATTTTGAAATTTTCTATCTTTTAGTGTTCATTTGGCTTTGTCTTTCATGAAATTTATCAATTAAATGGACAAAATTTGTTACAATTGGGGATAGGATTTGTTCCAATTGCCAAAAAAAAAAAGGGGGCTGGAAAACCAATTCTCACCAAAATGGCGAGAATTGATATCATGGAATTGGCACACGTGTTTGAGACAAGATTAAAATCAATTTGCATGGAGAATATTTGCTATCAAACACTACCATTTTCCATGGAAAATATGCCCATCAAACAAGCCCTAAGTTCTTTACACCAATATTTTAAAACCCAGACTGGTCTAGCCCGTTGAACTGGATAAATTAGGAATGGAGATCAAAATCGATTGGATATGACTTATAAAACCTCTAATTAAAAACCCGTCCCAAGATCCGTTAAATTGGCCGATCTTTGGGAAACCCGTAACCCGTTCTCGATTTAGCCGATTCAAATATATATATATACACACACACCCCCCCCAATTTAACCTTTTGATCTTTGAACATTTTTCTATTTCAAGATTACCGAATCAAGTTTTCAAACATTGCGTGACATAGGACATTGAAACAAAACCGTCGAAGAATGGGTGGAATGTCTTGCCAAGTATAACGAAAACTCAACAATGTAAGAGTTTTGTTTTACTTCATTAGGCTTCCACGGGTTTCTTTGAATGATGTTGACAATGATGGAGATACGTTTGAAAAATGTCATCAATTGTTGTTATGAGTTCTCTAATATTTTTTTTCTAGGGAAGTGTGTATAAATTTTACGTCAAATAAAAATGAAAATATTAATCAATTTTTAAGGGTTTGAACTACTTCTTTTAATAAGATTATCCTTTTAAGATGAAATTTCAACTTTTAATATAATACCAAAATCAAATGAGCAATATGATTTGATTAAGACTCAAAAAATGAGCTCGCTAATTTTAAGATTTGTTTGTTTAAATAACTCATTATCTTACGAGAACATGTTAAAAAATAAAATTCATATAAAATAAAGAAGAAAATTTAGATAAACTTATAAGGATTTAAAGTTTAAACTACTCCTTTTATGAATAAGATTTTACCTTATAAGATGAAACCCCAACTCTCGATAAGTACCGTACTATCACTAATGGCACTGGATGAAAATAAAGTAAAAGATTTGAGAACAAATATTTATTAACCCGAGGAGAATAATAAAGTACTTATTATTGAGCAATTTTAGGCTAAAGAGCCCACCACGAGGAGAATAACATAGTACGTGTTGGGCCATTTTTTTGTTTTTAATTTCTAGTTTTATCTGGTCAAAATGAACTTTTGGCTTTCTAATGTCGTAAGGTTTTCTCTATGATTTTCAATTATTTAAAATTGTTTAAGTGCTACTTTTTTAAGGTTGCATTTTCATGAATTGATAAAATTGTGGAGTTTCTCCCAAATTTTTCAATCCATCTCGATGTTCTACATATATCAACAAGAACGGATTTTAGTTTCTTATTTCTCATACTTATTGCCCGCATCAGTTATCATCAAAATTTGAGAAAATTCTCACAATATATGGATTTTTAATCTTTTTGAAAGGCCATCTCTCCACACTGTTGTGGCACTATAAAACCTAGATTCATTTTTTTTTCTTATTTTTGAGAAATGCTTATAAGTAATTTAAATTATAATTAGATATAATCGAGCAATTGACAAGTGCGCAATACCATGAGTTCTTCGATATGTGTGAATAAAATGTGACTTACATGTTTATAAACATGAGCAGAAGATAGAATTCTCAATGTTAGTCAAGATTGTGCTCATGATCCCTCAATCCCTATAAGATTCCAAAATCACCTAAAACAATCTATAATAAAGAGATTATAAAAATAACAAAACATTAAAAATAAAGTGGTTCGAGTAGAAAAAGATTCAATAGTGCTTGGTGTACATCCTTACACCCCTCTCACAATGAGGGGAGTCCAAAATTATTAAATTCATGTGAGCCCCTCGCATTGTGAGATGGCTGCACATCATGTCGTACAAGAAGCTTTAGTGAAAAAGATTTGTCATTTATCTCAAATCCTGTGTCTTATCTTCATTTATTGTCTCAAAATCTACCAATTCACAGGGTAAATAAGTGGAAAAACAATACTTAAATGCACTCTGTAATAACGAATTCAACGATTTTTCTTGAAATTATAAAATTTGAACCAATAATGTGATAAAAGTACATATTTTGATGACACCGTTCTAACCATTCAATATTATGCATGTTAAAAAAGAGGAGGATTTTTCATAAATGTCACTAAATTTGAAAATGCACAAAAAAATTTCATTTGCACAAAAATTTGTCAAAAATGTTACTTTTTTGGTGTGACAGGTCTATATTACTCCTAATGACACCTTTTTAGGAGCATTTAATGCTTGATTTGAAAGTCATTAATGTTGTGATGTAATGATTTGTTTTGTATATTATAAATATTAGAGATATAATTATTATATTGGATAGTATGAGTTTTGGTCAAAAAGGAAAGAATTTGAAAAAAAAAAAAAAGGTTACTTCTTACCATTCACAAACTCTAACTTTTTATTTATCTTCTTCATTTCATCATCAAGAAGACATTGCTATTAGATTCATCATCCATTTTTTAGAGGTTATCTATTAGAAATTATTTATATTTTCATCTTATAACTTACTATTTTAAATGTTAAATAGAATATAGTCATATTGATTTGAAATTTTTGAAACTCTTATTCATTGATTTGTTTAAATCTTGATATATTTTTTAACGGAAAAGATATCAACATAATTTAGAAAATGTGAAGGATTCTATAATTAATGAAGTATTGAGTTGTTCCTTATTTATTTTTGGGAAGATGTTGTGATGTTGGAATTGAGAATTAATTATCACTATTAATGTTTTGAATAATTTCTTCCAATGTACCAAATATATGTTTTCAAGCTTCCGAACAATTTCGACAATTTAACTATCGCATTCGACATTTCGAAATCGTCATATTAGACATCTCAACTGTCGAATTTGACATTTGGAAACTATTGGGATAAATAATTTAACTATTGAGATTCAACCATTCATTTTACTTTTTGTTATTGAATGGATTTAAATATTCAAAAGTGTCACTTTCATGCTATTAAATGTTGACATATTGATTGTGCAGAGTTCTTACCGTTGTAATCTCAACCTTTCAGGTATTAGTAATCATTTGAGATTTATCGTGTCGCATGAGAAAAATTTGTTTATGTGGATGACGAATGAAAGTGGAAAGTAGACAAAACTACTTTCATTTTAGTTCTCGTTATGGTAGAGTTCACCATAATCGAATCATGTGTTCCAATCCCATTCTAACAAAACTCATGTAAATAGGCTTGATGTCTAAAAATAGTTGAAGTTGTATTCTGAATGTTCCCCTTGATAGCGTTGTACATTATGAAATTATATTATTATTTTCATTTTATTATTGTTTACAGACATTAGTCGTGTTTAAGTTTACAAGCAAAATAATTACACTGACAAAAATTGCATACCATCAAATAGAAGGATTCTATCATTATTGACACATGGTAGCAAAGTAAAAAATTTGACTAAAAAAAATGTATAAGGGACATGTTCCCGAACACGTTCTCAACATACATTATTATTAGCATTTTATTATCATTTGCAGACATTGCATAACATCTTAACAGTTAAACCATCGATCCCGACAGAAAGTTTCTGTCATTCTTGACAGTTGGTTGCGAGAAGAAAATGTAATTACAAATAAAATACATAAGGGATAAACTGGTGCAGAACATTTGGTAAAGACGTTACTATATTTATCCTTGACAAAACTACAATACATAACTCAACAATTTTTCTCGTCCTATTTGAACAATTCAACAAGTATGAGAAATGATAAAATGTGTAACCACATGTGGATGCAACCACCAAATCATGTTTATACCCACATTCTTGGAGGGGAGCAATATGGAGTCATTTAGTACACAAATCAATTCTTGTGTAGTATTGACAAATTTCGTCACACTATTTCTTTACTCTTTTTTTCCTCTCCTTGGTGTATGGAGTCGTACTAGATGCTACATGAAATCGAATGTGTGTCGATTATTGCCTCTTTGTGTTAACAACATCGTTATTTTTGATGGGTATGGTGGCCTCCTCTGCCACGCTATAAGTTGAGGGAACTTTCTCGTTGTCCAGGTATAACACTTCGAGCTCTATGACTCCTCCATTTATTTGAAAACAACATTTGCAACAATAACCAACATGAGTTCATTATTTCTAGTTTGCAAATTACGGAATGAGATGAGAGTATTTTGAATTTTGAATTCCTCATAATTAACGCATATATCGTTTACCTTTTGGTTTTCACTAAGCAATGGACCCTCATGATTATCCGAGCACGAGTTGATGCCTCCTTCATTTAATTGAAAACAACAATTACAATACTAATGGACATGAATTCAATATTTCTAATTTGCATATCATGAAATGAGACGAGTGTATTTAAAATTTTGAGTTATTCAAATGTTAATGCTAAATACACATATAAGAAATTAAAAAACAAACTATAATATTCGAGAGATACTGCCTTTAACTGTCAAGAATGACAGTTCATATTGAAAGATGACTCATCTGTCGAGAATAATCGAAACGAATTGTCAGGAACTAAAGTTTATTGCGATAGACAAGTCACATAATTGATCTTTTGAGAAGTTCTCGAGTGTCGAGAATTTATAACTATACAGATTTTTATCGTGACAAATTAAACAGTTCGCTTAGAAGATTCAATACCTATGCTTAACCTAGAAAAATATAATAAATAAGATAGGTTGAAATGATAAGTATAACACAACAATTAGCTTCTACAAATCAAACAAATTCAAAAAAATATGAAGTAAAAAATTGACGAAACATGAAATACTTTTTTTAGAAAAATATAACAAAAAATTCATATATAATGTTCAAAAAAATTTAGAAAAAATAAAAATGCCCAAAAAAAGTATAAACCCCAAAAAAAATGGAGAAATCCAAATTACCTGTAAATGAACACTCCAAACAAAGCCAAATCCAAAATAGAGAACAATCTAACTCATGGTCTAGGTGTAGAAAACTCAAAATTGATGGTGCAATCTTAAAAAAAAAAGACAAAAAAAAGGAACATTAATAAAAAATTTGAAACAAAACCTTCAATCGATCGAAAAAAACTCATATATTCAAAACCTTACCTAAGATATTTTTCTTCCTTCTGTATTGACGTAATAAACGGGATCCCAACACAAGAACTTTCACTCCATATATTTTTCAAAGAATCAAGAGAGGAAACATAAAAAAGACGAAAAGAGAAATGAGAAATTTTGCAAAGAAACATATTAGAATATATATATATATATATTGTAAGAATTTTGAAGTACAATTGTGAGGTGATTGATTGTCATATTTTCTCTACTTTTTGTACAATTTTTTATATTATCAACTCAAGGATGTGTTGGGTATTTGAATTTTTAAGAGGGGCAAAAATGTTCAAAATTGACAATCTTGCAAAGATTTTTAAAAAGTGACATTTTTGTAAATGCAAAGCTAAAAGTTGACTATTTTGATAATTTCCTCTAAAAAAATATGAGAAGTTAATTGTTAATTTTTATATTTTCAATTTAAAAATAAATTAATATTAAGCATAATAAATTAATTAATATTTTAATCCCCGCCCCGTCCTCACGCACTTCTCATAAATTTTCAACTGACAGGGATGGGGATAGTTGCCTCCGCCACCCCTCTTCTCATAATCCCTACTCAGCATTTTGAAGAAGGAAAATATCAAGACCAAATATCTCATAGCATTTGGCTCCAAAGAATAAGACATTCACATTTAAAGGCTTTAAGGCCTTAGGGCATCTCCAATCATGCTCCATTCCACCAAATTTCATCATGTTACGCCAAAAACTTGGTGCACTCACTTTCCAACTAAGGACCATAATTGCATAAATTCAATATAAAATAGTGCAAGTAAATAGTATTGAAGTGTACAGTGTTACACCAATATTATTCACTTGTACTATTTTGTACCAAAATGGATGATGTCCTTTTTGCCCTACTTTTTTATTGTGCACCACATTTTTGTTAAGGGTATTTGCACCTTTTTATTGTTACACTATAAATTTTAATTCTTAATTAAATTGTTGTTGTTATTGTTATTATTATTTGCCATAAATTTTAGTTGTCTAAATAATAATAATTAAGAAATGAATTAAAAGAAAAGTACTAAAAAAATATTAAATTGGTAACAAATATAATTGTTTAAAATTAAGACGAAAATAATCGCTTTCAAGATTTTCTTACTCATCATGGATAAATCAAGGATAAAGAGGATCATATTACACTTGAAATGCATTAATTGATAATTTGTTAGATGAACATACAAATTTCGAGAATTAAATGCCAGCATAGTTTGATTTCATAATATCAGGATTCAAAACATATTAAATCTTTTAATATTATGATTCAATATTTTATTAGTTGTGGTATTTGTATTAACTAGATTATATATTTAATATTTATTAATGGATTCAATATTTTCGTTAATTAAACGTAATTATTTATTTAGTAATTTATGCAGTAATAAATAAATAAATAAATTTTGAGATATATAAATTGTTAAGAATGAAAAAATAAAGAAAATGATGAAATATTGTTTATTTGGTGCAACTTTTGATATATTGAGCTGGAAATGATTTTCAGTTTCATTCAAATTTTGGTGCAAAATAATGCAAAATTTACCTCAAATTTTGGTGTATGATTACAGATGACCTTATATTTTAAGAAATTGATTAATGTTTTAAGTTGGAAAAGAAAAAGAAAAAACAATCATAAACTATTTGTACTACCAATCATCAAATGAAAAAAGCCTTAAGATTTCCGCTTCTTTAACAAACAACATATCAGAATGTCCTTTACAAAATCTACATTATGTCTCGTGGAACCTTGCTCCAGTTTTTATCTTGTCGAAAATTCAAAAATTATGTTATTGATTGCACAGGTTACTCATGATTTTTCCATTATAGAAGAAATCAAATATCTCAGATTTTGAAAGTTGGTTGAAATCAGTTTAAAACGAAAATAAAAAATTTTAAAGCATGATAGTGACACAACAACATCTCCAAAGTTCGAAAGATATTCTATATAGAATTCAAGATATTTATAAAAATTTCTCGTATTCATTTTAGAAAATCGAAACGCATCATCAATCATGGCCATTCAATCTCTATTTTCAAGCATAGTCAAGTGCACAACTATATCACATGTATCTCAAAATTAGTTCAGCAATTTATTACGTCCACAATCATGTCATACTAGTTTATATACCTACATTTTTATACTACACATTGAATTTATTAAATGCGACAAAAGAAGAATAGAAAACATAGGAATTCCAGCTATAATTTCTCCATTATTTTGAGAACAACAAAGAATGGACAAGTATGTTACTTAGCCCCTATTTGACATCCTTTATTTCAAAACTTTTTTTTTTTCACACTCATTTTCAATTAAACATTCATATAAAATATTCTACACGTAAACCTAAAACTTTTTCGTACTATTTAATTATACATTCTCCAAAAATTTATTATTCAAAACTTTGTTTTTGCCAATTAAATGCCATCGAACATGGGCTTAAGAGTACAATACGTAATAGATTTGTTAAAGAAAATTTATATCACTCAATATTTGCGTACTTTTTCATTACTACAAATTTTAAACATGTGTGCTACTCCATATCCTAGCAGCATTACTTATTTCTACTACCATATGCATTACATTATTGCTAGAAGGTACAAATGCCATATCGTTGTGAGTACGTCATGACACAATTTTCATTACAATCAGTACGTATGTCACGCTATCCACATTATCATTTTATTATAACCATTGTGTAACTTGCTTCACATTAGCAATACCACTGAACTACCTGTTCAAGCATATGATTTACTATGATACCTGACATACCCTCTATCCATTATATTTTGGAGAAATTTAACTATTTCACTTTATCGTCCTGAGCAATTGAAGGGGCAAATGGACCCCAAATTTATTTTGTAGATGTGCAATGGATATATTGTATTGTATTATAGGTTGGTTTAGTCCATATTATAGAGGAGATGTTGCTGAAAATTTGACAAATTATAGTTGATATATATTTGCGAGGCAATTCATAAGCTCTCACCTATTTTGGATTGATGCATGTTTTCGAGGTAGTTTGTAAGCCCCCACTTCTTGACTATTCATATTTCGAAATATGACCTCACCTATTTGACTATTCATATTTCAAAATTCGATGTGCATATAAATATACGATTCAGGCTCGGGGGCTATTGTTATATCTATAAATTATGTGGCATGCACACAGTGGAAGGGAATCCACATATGTCAACTCGATAATTATTTATGTCTATTTGACTAGATTTATTGAAGAATAGCAAATCATATTGGGCTTGGAGCTCGGCCCATCATTAACCACTTGCCCATTTACATTTTCATTTCTCTATAAATATGAGTTCATTTTCACACTTGAGGTATGTATTCTACCCCTTGCTAAATCCTTTTTCCCTATCTTGCACTCTCTTCTCTCGTCCAACCGTTGTCTTGACCGTTGAGTGCAAAAGGTCATTGGACCTTTTATCAACCGACAATTTTTGCCTTCTAATGGGGTGTTCATCGTGCAGGTGATGTTTACATGGAGATGACGAGGTCGGGATTTTATTGGCGCATTTTTTGAGGTCACCGATGTCTTTTATAGATTAAATAATTACATATAGGGAGTTTTTTTTTTTTACGACTACAGAAGAAGGTGTCCAAGGAGAGGAGAGACCGACTCGAATGAGCGAGGCTGGCTTAGGCAAATGAAAGGAATGTCAAGGTTGGTGGGAAATTGGAAATGGAGTCGAGATAAAACGATGCTTCATAAATGGACCAAATGACCTATGTAGAGGTTCTATAAAATTGGGACTAAATAGCAATATATAGTTTTAAAAAACTTAAAAGAAAGTGGGCTATTGATTCCATGCCAAACAAACAAATATTTTTGCCAGTTCTTGTACACAAAGCAATTGGTCCATCCCTATACAATTCTTAATCAAATCAAATTATTTTATTACATTATTTTAATCAATCTTTTGGTCCATCCCTTTACGGTTCTTGCATAATTCACGTGGGTACTGCAACTCTCCCTGTCACTATCTCAATAGTTTATCAAATTAAGCACGTGTAGATTACAAATTTTCTTCGTAGGCCACACACTAAAGAACTCTGGAGTGACTCTAAATGTCAACCTTTCCTCCTGAATTCTCCATCACAACCCTCTTCTCTTTCTCTCATACAACACAAACTCAGAGAGATGAAGATACTATCAATTGAGCCGAATTCAGGGTTGCGAATCCTTATACAACTCAAAAATGGTGAATATGTTAGATCTCTATTTGTAATTGGGTATTCTTTAGATAAAATTAAATGGAATCGTAATTAAAGTCAAAGAGTCAATGGGTTGACAGTATAGGTATTGAAGGAGTCAATGAGCTCAAAGTTGTCCAAGAAGCTCACATATTATCAATAGGATGCAATTAGAAATTAAAGAAGCGTCAAAATGCCAAACAAGTTATGCTCCAAATTCTCAATCAAAAGTTGTAATGCATTTTTCATATAGAAAATATTTGAAATTGAAAAATGATTTCAAAAGAATTGTAGCCACTTTGAATTAATTTTCCAATGCATTTTGAATCACTTTAATCCGATATCGGAAAAGAAAGATATATTAAAAATAATGATGGCTGCTCAGAGAGAGCTCGATGGCTGTCCTCAGGTCGCTTGAGCATCCAAAACAGATTGTGACCGTTGGTTAGGTGCCGTGATGGTGCTCCAGCAACCCTGTTATGTGCCCAAACCTTAAATCGCGATTTTAAGCCGTTTTACTATCCCAAACAACTTCAACTACTTCCTATTATATATACAGAAGCCATAATTCATACCAAACCATCTTTGTGCCATTGATTGAGCAATTATACATTCAAGAGAACATCTTACAGAGATCAAACAACAATTCCATAATTCTCTTGATTCAATTAAAAGA